CCTAATTTGAAATTTCAAAACCTCACTTTCACTCTGTAGCTTTCATGTAGTAGCTGTATTCAATTCAATCACTGCTTTCCATGCAATTAACTATATATTATTTATTTTACCAAAAATATATATTATTTCTTCTGCTTAGATTAAGGTTGATGCACTTAGAGCAAGCCAAACCAATCCTAAAATATTCCAAAATATCAAATTTAAAATTGACATTGTTTTTTCTTTATTTATTTTTATTTATGATTAGGATTTTTTATATTAATATTAATATATTAGATTAATTTCTCTTTTAATAATTTTAAAAGTACACTCACATATTAACTTAAAATTTATTTTCTTAAGTAATCACACTAAAATATAAAATGTGAATCCAACAAATAAACCTACCTATACTTTTAAATAAATCCAACCCTTGTAGTTAATTAGAACTTGTTTTAATCACATAGAAACAGGGGCGGAGGGAGAGGGTGCGAGGGTGGTGCTAGCCCTGAAATTTGAAAATTTTTATAAATTAATATATAAAAAATTATCTCGTTCCCTGAAAAAAAAATCTGATTCCGCCCCTGCATAGAAACCAACAAAAATTAAGTGAAACAACTCGGAAACCAGGGAATAGGGGCCGTGGTGTACCATCATCCTGATCAGAAAATGTTATCCATATGTTTCCAGCAGTATGTGGTAATCGTACTTGTATCATCTAACACATCCTTAATTAATTTTAACCTTTGATTATGCTGCTTTGTCTTTTTAAAGCTCTCATCTGCCAGGCAATCTGGACATGGCTGTGAATATGCCCCAAATGAATTTCCTTGTATATTAATTACGGTTGGCTTGTCCTTGAATTTTGAGTTCCTTTTTTTTTTTTTTTTGAGTCTCATTCATTTATAAGTTTTTTACACGATCACGTAAATGATGACATCTCCCCTTGGTATTTTTAGGTATATTTAGTATTCCATTTGATGATAATTTATATAATGATTTTAAAGTTTAAATTCAAAATTTTTAATTTAAAATCTCAATTCTTACTAACTAATAATACCCAGATAACCTTGTTTTTCTTACAGTTTGAGCTGCCAACTTGGCCACTTGTTTGCTTAATTTTAATACTGCCCATGTTTCAGTAACCAAAATATTTCCAACTAATATCTGAATTCCAGCCTGAAATGTGTAAGTCCACTTCATGAATGTTTAATTGTTGCAATTAAGCTCATAAAAAAAAATTTGTTGTAATTAAAAGAGAGATGCAGCAAATCATGCCCAAATTTAATCTTTTTAAGGAATGCCTAAACTGTTGACCAAAAAAAAAAAAAATTGAATACCCAAACTGAATTAGGCTTAATCCCCCAGTTTCCCCCCAACTACTTGTCCTTAGGACCTTTAGCCCCTCAATAGAGAGTATAGCTAAACATGTCCTTAAACTACACGTTACTAACAAGGAAGCCCTTCCAACCCTTCCGCTAAATTTTTAAATGTAAAATATTTTCTTATTTATTGGCGTTTAAATTTGTGTAACTCTTTTTCTCTTTCATTTCTCCCACTATTGAGTTACTTACCCTGTTATAAATAAATAAATAACCACCACAAAAAAAAAAAAAAAAAAAAAAAACTACGGGCTACTAATGCAATTGGCCCAAATTACCGCAATCCGTCCCATGCCCCATGCGATCGTTTAGTTTCCGTTACCGTTAGCACTTGCCATTTGCCAACGCTACGCTTGAGCTTCTGTTCTTCTTCTTCTCTTCTTCTTCTTCTTCTTCTTCTTCTTCTTTGTGTAAACTTTTCAAACATGACAATCATATTTCTTAATTAATTTTAATTAATTTGTGTATAATTTTATTAATTTTAATTAACATTTTGTATATTTTTA